TCTTATTCGTTAATTAATTAAGTCGTGATTTAGCTCTTTATAATACATATGTTTCAATTAATGATTTTATCAGAATTTTTAATAAATTAATAAAATCATAAATGTTTTACGATTTTAATCGGTTTTCATAAGAAAGAGTAACGTGTTTAATAAATAGAATAGTAATCATTGCATTATGACGTTAAAAGGCCATATTTCGATATATTATTATTTAATTTTCTTCGATGACATTCTTATAAGCAACTCGATATTAATAAAAGTAGGCGCTTGATCGTTCGAATTTTAAGTCGAAGAAAAAATAAATGTATTCAGCTTCAATTATGAGCAGTTTTATTTAATGTGTGTGTGTGTGTGTGTGTGTGTGTGTGTGTGTGTGTGTGTGTGTGTACATTCGATTCATTTAACCTTCTTCGTATATAATGACTGGAATTCTGGAATATAGCATGTGCAAAAATTTATTATTCATTAAATCAATATAGTATAAACGATTTTAGGATTTACCTAGACATGATAATGTCGATAATGAGAAAGGTATTTTTATACAGTAAGATTAAAGAAAATAAATCATATAAATTATATGGCTGCGACATAAAGCAAATGCTACAACAAATTAAAATTTGTAAATATGATCGAAGCGATTTGATCTACGTGCCTCTCATGCCCCGTTTTAAGATCAAATAGCAAATTTGCTTGTAAATTTCAATATTTCTTTTTAAAGTTTATAAAGCAAAACTTTAAATTTGTAAACATAACTCTCATCGTAACTCTCATATACGTTATTCGCCAATAAAAAAATCACTTTGTAATTATTAAAAACTTGTTTTATTGCTTTGCAATTAAAATTTTTATACTTAACTCGTTAATACAGCATTTGCATTGAATTCGATCAAATTATTATATTTATCATGTTCTTTAGTTTTGTTTTGATAACATTTTTCTAAACTTTTATGAATTTCTTATGCAATAGTATAGTGAAATAATGCGAATTTATCGTTAATGATTGGAAATTACTATTTCAATTATTCAATGATAAATATTCAAGTAATTATATAATTATATAAATTTTGTTATTTCCAATATTAAATTAACTGAGATGGAAGTATAAATAAATATAAATAAATAGCCAATATCGCATAACATTTTGTATGTTTATATATTTATGGATGAAAAATACATGACTAATGAAATTTAAAAAGAAAAAAAAAAAAAAAAAAGTTAAAGTTAAGATTAAGTAAAAGTTAAGATTTGCCAGAATAGTATACACAATTGATACTGAAATATTAATTATTTCTTAACTTAATTAATTTATATAAATGTAGGCAAATTATTTAATTAAATATTTTTTTTAATTTTTATAATATATCAAATTCACGACTCTCGATCATTATTATAATTCGTTAGGTTTACATTGCTTGATAAAAAAATATATAAAATTGATTATTTTAATAATAAAAGTACTTGTGCATAGATAGATATACGGTGCGTTTCCAATGACGAGGAAAAGGTATAATAATATCGATTGAATACTATTTAGCATAGTAAGCTCGCCACCATATAAATGATCAAATTATAAAGAAGACACGCACGTAGATACTAATACTCATGTATTCGCACGAGTGCAATTTATTTAGCTGAAATTGAAAAAGGTTGCGTGCACTATATCCCTCTTTCATACCACCGCTTATCTGATTTGTTACAAAAAGAAAAAAAGAGTGAAGGAAATCAAATAAATAAATCAAATAAAAAAATATTGTATTGCGTGGTATTGCGTGGTATTGCGCAATAACTACAATTAAGAACATTCTAATGATGAGAATCGCAAGCACTCGAGCGATGATAGGGCATTAAGGTAGAAATTCATGAAAAATCATCATTGGCTCGGCGATGTTGATATTAGCTTGGCATGTTAGCCGTACGCGAGTCAACGAAATGAAATGATATCAATGAAAATAAATCCAAAGAGACATTCATACTAACCGATTATCAGACAGACGCTCGCGCAGTTGTATCGCGGACTGACGTCCATGCGCATTCTTACGGAAATAAAAAGCCTTAAAAAGAAAAGATCGGGAACTAGCGTGTAGAGTCATCGGCAACGTAGCCACGACGGACTGTCTCATCAGGATAGGAAAAAAAGAGGCCTTCGATGAATGCTCGACACATACCTGTCCAGGGCTAACCTTGGGCTAACGCGCGCACGATCGTTTTTTCCAGGTCGTGGGCGGCGCCGTGGGTCACATGAGTTTTCACGCAGGCGCGTCTATGCTTTGGACTCGCACGCCGAAGCGACGATCTTTATCGACGCTGGATTTACTCGCTCGGCCTCTATCAGCGAGAGACGAGGAAACGCGAGGAGAGTGGATGCGAACCGATGTAAAAGTGTGTGTGTGAGAGAGAGAGAGAGAGAGAGAGAGAGACGGATCTTGATTACGCGCACTTTCACGCACGCACTTTAAATTACCGCGATACACGTGAATTTTCTAGGCACGTTGTATTATATTCGCAAAACTTTTCTCAATGACCGTTATTACAGCCGTCGCGAATTTTATGACTTCTTCAAGTACATTCCTCAATAATATTAAATTTTATGCATTTCATTTTACAATGCGGTTGCACAATATTGAGGCGAATGATGCACTCGGCGTCCAAGTATTTCAAATTCTATTTCCACTGATGTAAATACCACGAATGCCCGATGACGGTGCGGAAACAATTATCGACATTCGCATAGCACATTGGGATTTCAAAAGAACTTTATTTTACATTAATACTTAAATATAATCATTATGGATGTGAAAAATTTAAGTGGCTAAAGTGTCGATATAGTGGATTTTATATACAATAAAGGTTAATATGCCTGTAACGGCTATTTACTATCATTTATCTACTTGGCTGCTTCAAAATCATTATTTCATCAACGTAAAACCAATGCGACACTGTTTACTAGTTTCTATCCGTCCATAATACTTCGCTGGCCTTTAATTGAAGAAATTTGAAAGCTCGCCGACATTCATGCCGAATGAGAATACATACAAGAACTACTTTTTTTTCTAATAAATAAAATGATTTTTCAAATCACCACGATCGAGCAGATTAAACGTGCACTTACTCATGTTCAATTTAAGAAATTAAATAACCAAAATTAAAAATAATATAACTAAATATAAATCGTATTTTCTAAGAAATATTCTAATTCCAATATTTCGAAATTTTTGAATTTTCAAAATTATACATTTGTAATAATAATTAATGGATTATTAGAAAGTTAAAATTAATATTGTAACATTGAATGCAGTGCCATTATTTATCCATAGTTAAATATTATTCAAATACTCTCGAATAATAATAAGCAGCTCAGACAAAATTTAACATTCTGCAATTTATTGACTACATTACAACAAACTTTTTTCTTTTTTTCTTTTTTTTTCTAATATATGAAAACTATCGGCATATCTACTTTCAATATTTAACGTCAACTAATTTAAATATTAAAATAACATAATTTACCATAGATAAAGTAGTAATTTTTAATGCATATTTAATACATATTTAATAATCTTTACAATAATATATGCTTTCGTAGTGATTGCGTTTGCTAATTACAAATCGCACAAAAAATATCTTAACAATGGTAAAAAGATAAAAAAAAAAAAGAAAAAAAAAGTATCTGATTTTCCTAATTCTTATTTAATGTTACAAATACACCATTTTAATAGTGATAATTAAATTATTATTATTATTGTTGTTGTTGATGTTGTTGTTGTTGTTGTTGTTGTTATTGTTATTATTATTATGTAAAGAATGAAAATTTTTGAACTTTAAATGTAATTTAATATAGATTTTTCATGATATTTTGAAGATACGTGTTTTTGTACAACGTACTGCCACAATAGTTTTAAGCTATTTAGTAGGGAAAAATTGTCATTAATGTAATTGTATAATTATTATAAGTAAATATAAAAGTGATAGTATTAAAAATAGTTAATATTTGATTTTGATCGAATATTTATGTATATAATTTATGATGACTAATGTTAAGAGTAATAGCGAAGAGAACAGTTGAATAGGTTGAAATTTATTATCGAGTAAAGAATATCGAATTGTAAGTAAGAAATTGTAATCTGTATCCGTATGCTTTAGCTTTAGGAATCGAGAAAAATAGAATGCTTGTCCGAGTGGAAAAGAAAAATGGAGATGATTAATGATTTTATGATTGAAATGTTTTGCATTTGAATTCTGAATTATGTAAATTCAACAGCGTAAATGCAGAGTCTGAGCTTTATTGTTACAGAAGGAGATCTATGAAATGTAACGATCGTCGTTCTTCCCAAAAGTTGTTGGTTTTTAAAATTTTGGTATTTAAAATCAATTAAATACAATAATTAGACGATGGATAAACTTCTGTACAAGGATCAAAAGAATGATTGTAAAAAAACTTAATAACTTAATGAAATAAAAAACAATATAACATTAAAGTTCAGCTTTTTGAAATTTCGATAAAGATATTATCTCTAATTATTTCGAATTAATTAAATTAATTTTGTACCGGCAGGATGTGAGCATCTATGGTTACATAAGATTAGGAGAGGAGGGGGGGGGGGGGGGGGGGGGGGGGGGGGGAGGGTTGGTTTAAGCAGGAGGAGAAAAAGTTCGTTTAAGGATATAAAGCAGAAGATGTAAATTCAAATTCAAAGGCGAGATGAGCGGCCGACGTCGCGCGCAAACACGTCGCCGGTCTGGGAATCCCCCCACGGCAACATCGCCCATCAACAGCGGCACCGCGGCTCATGATAACGATCGAATCGAGCCGTGCGCGAGCCAACGACGGCGCAAACGTGCTACTCCATCGCCACCGCTAACTCTACCTCTACCACTACAGCGCCTCTACAGCTACGACCACTACTACTAAGTCACCACCACTACCAATGCCACCTTAGCCGACAGCGTCGGCAAAGGCGCAACCGAACGCAACGCCGCCGCGGCGTCTCCTACGAAATCGACGTTTCTTCCTCCGCAACGGAGTTGGCTTTTCTCGAGCGAGCTCCCGCCAGTTGATACGTTTCCCCTCTGTCGCGCGGACTTGCTTCTCTCTCTCGTTTTCTCGGCCCCGTGTATTCCCGCCAGACACTATCTCCCTCAAGATGGTGATATATGTCGCAACATCGGTAAGTAGTAGTCGGCCCAAGTCGAACGGAGAGCTCGACCAAGCCCATCATCATTAAGTCCACTCTGTTTACGCTCAATGGTCGGACGATGGTCGGACGATGGTCGGACGTTGGTCGTACGTTGGTCGGACGATGGTCGGGTCGAGTAATCCAAGTGTGAACGCCGATCTCAAATAGCTTCTTGTTATCGAGGAGGAAAGATTGCGAGATTGGATACGCGGCCGTATAAGGCTCATCACCGAGAGCTCGACGTTGCGTGTCGTCGACGAGGAGGCGCGCCAGGAATCCACACCCCCTCCTCGCTAGCCTTGTGTCCGTAGCCGTCAATGAATAAGGGCAAAATTAAGCAGATAGGCGCCTATCGCCACTATTAATCCCTAGGCGAACGTGCATGTGTGCGTAAGCGCGCGCGTGCGCGGGATAATGTGACGGGAAATTGGGCTGGCTAGCGTGCACAGCAAGCCATGATATTTGTGTTGCTTCGAGTTTAATCACGAATAAAATGGAGCGGTCGTGGCCCCGGTTGTCCCATCAGCAATATTAGCAGTGGTGTACTTTTATTTTGGCTCTAACGCCTTTCTGTCGCCATATTTTTACGGTTAATTTGTATCGGCCGAGGAGAGCCGACAGGTCGTCGTTGTCGTCGATGCCACGGTCGCTATCGCTATCGCTATCCCCATCGCTATCCCTATCGCTATCCCTATTGCTATTGTTATCGTCATCGCCATCGCCACCGCCACCGCCACCGCCACCGCCACCGCCCTCGCCACCGCCCTCGCCACCGCCCTCGCCCTCGCCGCCGCCCTCGCCACCACCGTCTTACCTTTATATGCCACCTTTACTCAACGTAGTCGAGAACGTACGTCGGTAATTGCAGGGATTTTCCAACTCTATCGCTCGACGTTTCTCTAATTTCCATATTATAACGAAAGTCTGTGTGTATGTCATCATCGTTGATTGCGCGTCGAGATCGTACGGCCGTTCGACTGATTTTCGACTCTTGTTAACACGTGCTGTGACGTAAGTTTTTACGAAACAAATTTATGAAATAGCGTTGGGTGAGCTTGTGCGATTAAAATTAGTAATGTTAAATGTGCAAAATTATTATCGTTTCACGTTGACTTGAGTGTGCGTGTAACGTACATAAGTATAAACTTCCATCGTGGATAGAGGAAAATGAGTAAAATGGGTTCGCTATTATATTGACTTTGTATGATCTTTCATACATATTGGCGATTGTAATAATAAACTTCTGCAAACGTAATATAATATAATGAATTAATATAATATATTGAATCACAAATAATTTGTCGCAACACCGTGACAGAAAAGAAACTCGCATGCTCACGTATCGTCCAATCTTTGTCCAAAATACTTTACTTAATTCTCGGTAAAAAGCATTTTATTCCGCGAAATAGTCATTTGAATTCGAAATAATAAATTTATGTACGATTGAAGCGATTGTCTTTAAAAAAAAAAAATTTTATACAATTTTTCATGATTGTGTCAACATTATTAAAAAAAGCAAACAAACAAACTAACTAACTCTAACAACCCCAATAAAAGCTCAAAACTTTATGTTTTTCATGTCCCTCAATGTATATGAAAATTTTATATTCTATTATCGAATAATGCTTATTGTAAATTGATGGGCTGTCACAAGTAATCGAAATGTATTTCATTTTAATAGATATATCCATTAAGCATAAATCTTATTAAAACAAGTTACACGCTTATTTAATTTTAATAATATTGCAATTACAATAATCAATATGTAATAAGACAAAGTTGAATACACAAATACTGCCATTAATAATTACTTTCGTTTGCTTAATTCTTTATATATTTATATCCGGCTTATTGGCGCAGAATTTCATAATTGGTAAATTCTATTTAAATGAAAATTTCATTTTGATTAAAAATACTGCATCCAAATATCAATTTCCGAGCGCTTCTCCTAAATGCCAATGTATTTAAAATCAAAAAGTCAGAGCATAAAATAAATTTAATAATGCGTGGTACGAATGTGAAAATAAATTAGTCGTAAGTTTCAACAAGTAATTGTTTAATAACTAATTTTATATTTACATTATTACAGGCTGACCTGAAAGCCAGGCTGAATGATTCGCAGTATAAAATTGTTGTTGTTGACTTTTTTGCAACATGGTGTGCACCGTGTAGAATGATAGCACCGCAGTTTGAAACCCTTGCCGAGGTATGCTCATATTTCTTATACTACTAGTAGTTAATAAAAAAAGATTTCGCATAAAAAAAATTGGATAAAATTGGTCGGATGCTAGACCACTCGTAATAAGCGAGATGAATTGAATTATGGTTTTGTGAATTTCACAATTAGATGCGATTATTAAAAAATTATTGATATCTGCAAGTTTTCAATTTGATGTAGATTCGATGCGAACGTAGAGAGATCTAGATTAGTGAATTTCATTTTATCATAACATCATGTTTATTTAATGAATTCTATTATGCAAATGTTATTAATTTATATAAATCCCATTGTTTTCCAATTTTGGATATCAATTTAATAATCAATATTATCATTCATTTTCTTAGCTAAACCCAGAAATTTTATTTCTGAAATTTGACATTGACAATGCAGATGTCGGCGATGACTACGATGTTTCTAGTTTACCAACATTTATAATCTTTCAGAATGGTGAAATTGTAAGTATTTGCGTTACCTTGACTAAGAAATAATAATGTATTTATGATATTTAATAAATTATTTCAAGATAAAAAGAGCATATTTTTGCATATCTAATATAATATAATTTCTAATAATTTCTTTAAATGATTTTATTGAATTTTCTTTTTAATATCTAAGAATATCTACGTGTATAGAAGACCATATAAAATTGATAACTAATCTGATAGTATCATTTTTCATCTTAATTTAAGTAACAAAATACGAAATCTTGACTAATAGAGTTGTTATGTATACTTTTTATATAAGTTATTATGTATTAATTTACCAACAAATTATTAATGTCTAATTTTTTGGGGCATACAATGAAATTATTTTATATAGTAAAAATTTATAATTATCTGTGATAATTTTGTGTTTGAAATGATCATGATCAAACGTTTAAATAATAAATCAATCTATTAAAAAGAAAAAAACAATTTCATTAATTTCACACTTATTTTATCAACATAAGCATATTTTATGAATTATTCTAAATTTTTCATTAATTTTCTGTTTTAGGTGGACAGGTTTTCTGGAGCTAACATTAAAAAAGTTGAAGAAATGGTAGAAAAAATTAAATTATCAGCTAAGGCAAATGTAAATTAATTATCAACAAGTTCTGCATATATTTTTGTTCAATTTGTTATTCACTTTTTTAAATATGACGTACTTGTGTTAGTGACCGTTGCAACTGACAGTTAACACTATATATCATGTAAAATTCTTTGACCTACCAGTGTTAATCCTGATGAATTCTAAATAGTATATTGTTTTATTTTCTATAGAAAAAAATAAAATTTACTCTTCAGTATACAGTATCAAATGTATATATACATATATATATATATATATATATATATATACACACACACCTTTATTTTAACATTCATCCCAAATTCACTTATAAAGCGAATTTTAAAATATTCAAGTACACACACGCGCATACAAATAAATGTACATTATTAACTTGTAATGGATACCCTCATTAGGAATTTGATTGATCTATTTGTTGTTGAATGTCTACCAATAACGAAAACGAGCCGGTACCAGATTTACAAGGTTGACCCACCATCAGACGGCTAGAGGGTGAAGATAAATTATCACGTTTACCTAAAAATAAATTAAATATTTATTTGTTTTTAATCAAAATTCACGCGTAGCCGAGTGTAATTATTGTAAGAACTCTAAACCTTGAAGGGTGGCATTCTTTAAAAAATTAAGAGAGCTTTCGAAGCTCATTTGTTGAAGTGGCGAAGTTGAATCTTCCATGCCCTTACGGCTAAGAGGTTGGAAAGTGCCTTCGAACGTCATGTAATCCGCTATCAACGACAAATGTCTTGTATCTATAACAATTCCATACATTTTAAATACATCTTTAATTTCTTTAATGACAACTTTGTATGCCGCCTCGATGCCGTAAGTCTGAGATACGGCATAAATATCATTGGTATACAATCTACACAAATCTAAAATTTTATCGTATTTGAACATCTCCTGTGAACATGAAACATAAATCAATTTTAAATATCCATAATAAATTATCGTTTGGTTCTTCGCCACATGCAAATAATAACCTTACCACAATATTGATGCCGTCTGTCTTTAATATTTGTTCTCCATTTTGATTTTCGATTATAAATGCTCTCTTTATGCAGGGTGTTTCCCAGAAAACCAATTTGTTCGCAACATTACGAAGTATCATTGGCATATCAAACTTGGACATTTGAATGGGTAACTGAAACATTATAACCAGAGGATTTCATTAAAAGACGTTAAGCCAATCGATAGCATTGTATGATAAAAATACATTTTATCAAATTAATGAGAATTTGTCTATTTGTATTTTTATGTTATATCATTATAAATCATAAGTTTCTCTGCTTTAAATAAAAGTGACCAATTATTTCATAAGAATGCCTTTATTCAATCCTAGTGAGCGACAAGGACTAAGCGTAATAATATACGTTACGTACGACAAAAACTTTAAATAACTAATGAAAAAGATCGTAATCTTGCAGCAAGCTTGACTAGCTCGTGAAAACGGTAATTATTGAATTTACGCAAACGCGTTAATTATGAATTACTCTCTTATCGTCGTCTCATCTCCAATTGTCCCATGAAAACTGCTATTAACTATTTACAATTGACTTCTAACGAGTACATTGCGTTTAGCATTAGTTTTTTAATTAAGCAATCGCTTATCATTGCCCTGATACAACAGTATCAGAACACAAAAGTAATGGAATTTTCAAAACATTACTTACTTCAAATGTAAATTCGCACCATTGGCTGTCCTTCGTGTCATAATCGTAATTGGTGCAGTGCAGGTAAGTCTCGATAACGCGTTTTTTCCTCTGCTCATATTTCATATCCTCCGTCTTTTGCCAATCCATTGCAACGTCGTTGTCTTCGTCTTCGTCCTCATTGAACTTAGTCGGCTCAGCTGGATTATCGTCGGGCGCGTCCTCTAACTCTTCATCGCTCTCCTCCGGATCCTCGTATTCCCGATTCTCTTTGTGACGCGCGACCGACCTCGACACGGTCGCATCCGCATCTTCGGCGAGCTCCTCCTCGTCCGACGACTCGTGCATCTCTCCAAGGTCGAATCTCTTTCCTAAATTAGGATTGTTCTCGGACACCATCTCCTCCTCGTCCAATTTCAAATCGTCATTCTTCGTTTGCTTCTTATCCTCCTGGAAAAATACATTGGCGCCCGTCTTCTTTAAGACTCGCTTTATTTGTTTGAACATTTCTTTAAAGAACATCGTCTCCGTCTTGGCGATCGCGTCGTGCTGTTGGATGTAGAACTCATTTTTGTAGCATTTGTAGGGCAGGTAATCGATGTGAATCACGTACTCGATCACGTATTGATCACGCTGGACGAGCCTCTTACGGATCTCGATGTGCTCGAGGATGTTGGCGGCATAACATTTGGTCAGCTTAAGTCGTACCTTCGTCGACTGTACTTCCAAATTGACTATATCCTTCTTGAACGGAATCTCCATACTCGGCGTTTTGATGTTTTTCGAGGCCATCATCAAGATCTCGCGTAGCCGTGGTATACCGAGAGTCATGTTCATCTCACCACGTCCCGCGAAGTGGAAGGTATTGAGGGTCATCTGGGTCGAGGGCTCGCCGATCGACTGCGCGGCTAATCCAACCAACAATAATGGCACATTTATTTCAATACTTTATTGGCGGATACGCGAATGAGATTTGCTAATTTTACTAAAAGCGCGAGCAATTTGATTTGAAATTAATTAATATCCTCAACGTACAATGCATTATCGTCTCTTTAACTATCGGACAAATGTCTAATAATAAACCGAGTCGATGATAGGTCGAAGCAAATCTCAAACGTGAATCAAGTTCAATGATTACAATTACCCAATAGACCGACTGGTTCGCCGGGCGAACAAAAGGTATTCATGACTTTTGCGCATAAGACATCCTTTAGCTCATCCTTTTTCAATTTTGCCGTAAAAGAGGTGGCTTTGCTCACGTATTTCTCCAACATTTGCTCAAGTCTTTCCGACAATATACCAAAGGTCGTGTCCTGCCTGTACTTGGCGATCAGTGGCTCCGGACACTTCACGCACTGTCTCCTATAAGAGTTCTTTGTTTCTTCGTCCGCGCGTATCCACTTTTTCATGAGGGAGATCGCGGCTTTGCTCCTCCCGCATTGGAAATCAATGATCTTGTTCTTGCTGCTGTTGGGATTCCTATTATCGACGGAGAACTTGGAAAATTCGCTGAGCCGCCGCTTAACGAGTAGGTCACCGCCATTCCTCTTCGTCCACTTACGGATTTTCTTTGCGTGCTTGGCGATCGTCTGGGTCTCGGCGGACATTTTCAGACGTCTCATCAGATCCTCGTCCGCGACGGCATTCTTATTCTCGATTAAGAATCGAAATTGTTCTTCGTTCAAAAAACGCGACTTGGGAATATCCAAACCGTCCTCACCATAAGAAAACTGAATGAGACAACCATCCGAGTCCCTTACCGTCGCGTCGTAATTAACCATCAATCCCTCCATGTGTTTTATCAGGCATCTACGGACAAACGATGCTCAAATGAATATTTTGGTTGTTTGGTAATCGAATGAAATTTTCAACAACACGTTGTTGTATGTCCTATATAATTGTCAATATACAAAACTACTCGTTCAAATTACACGTCCGCCTAATTGTTGAAGTAACGGATTAAAAATCTGAAATTATTCTACCCACTCAATTTATACACACATAAATATGTGCTCGCATTCTTATTAAAATAATCCCATTTATTTTAATAGTGCCATGTTTACTTATACTTATATAAGTATAAAAAATATATAAATATTTTCTTATGCCGGTGTAGTTTCATCTATATTAAAATATTATTAATCTTATTAAATATTAATTATCATTGGCAATTAATCCTTAATCTTTATTAGTATTATTTTAATAGTTTTTTTTTTTTTTTTTTTTATATTTAATAGTAAATTAAAAATAGTAAATAATAAATTTAATAGTAAATTATTAGAATAAATACTTATAGTGAAGTGTATTGCAAACATTCAAAATAACAAATGCTCGCACGATTTTTTTATTATTACAATCGATCGGTCATATTAGATAAAAGTAGAGAGAGAGAGAGAGAGAGAGAGAGAGAGAGAGAGAGAGAGACTGGAATACAATAATATTGACATATCCATCTACCTCTGAAGATATCCAGATCTACTTGTTTTTACAGCTGTATCGATAAGACCTTCGCGCCCAGCCATACAATGAAAGAAGAATTCTTGAGGTTGAAGACCCGTCATAAATCGGTTATCAATGAAACCACCCGCCCTTGGCATTGGATCATACGGCGGAAAACTCGGAAGACTTTTGCCACTGATCATAAGAGGCGGTCGCTTTCCTTCCAATTCAATTTGGCCTAGCAAACACGATATTTGCATGGTGTTGACAGTGGAGCCTTTGGCTCCTGATTGAACCATAAGCTGAAGATTATTATTAGGGAAGGTCTTTATGAGATTGTCAGGCAAGCATAATTTATTGATTTTATTCGTGTATAAATCTAAAGCGGCCTTATAACTTTTGTCGACTTGAGCCCGGAATTTCGAATTGCAACGATATGCTTCTTCCATCTTTGCCGTTACCACCTCCATTGGCGTATTATCCGGAACTTCCAGAATTGATCTGAAATAAAAAATTATCGGCAAGTTGATATAATAATAAAATATTTAAATATTTAACTCTTTGGCTATTGAAAAGTGATATATATATATTGTTTTTGTTTTGTTTTTCTTTGTACGGTATTCTAATAAGACATAAAATATAATCTAAAATTACATTTGAAAATTCTGCAGATGTTGTTGCTGTAAATAAAAATTTAATCAATTACAAATATAACGAAAAGCTAGATGACGGTTATGTCAATTTCTACAATAGTATGAATTCTTACAATAATATAAGTCACCTGAAATAATATAAAATCTTAAACTTAATTATAATAATCTTAAAATGACTATTGAAATTCGCTTCTACAATTGGCCGATTATGGATTAATTATACTTTGCTTTTGATATTATGATGTGTAATTTGTGTGATAATGACACGATCACTGTGCTTATAAGAAAATATTAACTCTCACCTATGAATATTTTCTCCGATCTGCCGGCATTCATTAATAATTACAGCACGTTTAAGATCGGCTTTTGGTTTAACTAAAATATCTTCGATGCCCAAAGTGAATCCAATAGTTTGCAAGTACGCTTGAAATACTTTTCCAAAAGCACTTAACATTTTACTCGATGTTGTTCCACCGTACAACTCGAATACACAGTGGATAAGACCGAACGGAGTGGCACCGTAATGCTTCTTATCAAGTACTCCACAAAGCAATTCCCCATTGCGAATAATAATCTCAGCTTCAGACATATCGTTAGGATTCGTAAATGGCGTACCACATTTCCAGGGTCTTGATTTTTTCGCTCGCCATTCATTCGCTCCTATTTTAGCGGTTCCGGTAAGATTGATCAATGATTTTTTTGGTGGAATTATGTTTATAATAATGGTAGAGATAACTTGTTTCCCGGACCACATAGGCGTAGGCTTTATGATAGCTGGGGCGAGCAATATTAAATTACCCTGTATCATTGAAAGGGCCGAAAATACGAGTTGCATATAATCTTCTTTGTTGAAAAATGTGCTACGAAGTGTTAATTTTACACCACCTATCATGTGATCCTGAATTAAACCACTTAATGGCGTTCCATCTTTAGGTACTAAATACTGATGCGTGACATTGGCAATGTAGTAACCTTCGGAGCGAGCCAATTCATTTTGAGGAAAATGCGCGTTCATCTCATCACCGTCAAAATCAGCATTATATGCTTTACAATTAGCGTAATGAAGGCGCAGCGTCTTTTCTCCTTTAAGTATTCGAGCTTTATGTGCCATAATACTGGGCTTGTGAAGAGTTGGTTGACGATTTAGTAACAACATATCACCATTTTGAAGATGTCTATGAACTATTTTAATACCATGGAAAAATTTATTTGCCTTTTCAGTCATTGTAAGAAGTCGCTTGGCAATAGCTTCCCTAAGTACATAATTATCGGGACTTAAACGCTTAATTAATCCATCTTCGCCTTCGATCATCACAGCTCCAGGATGTACATTTGGTCCGTTTAAAATTAACTGCCTTATCTCGGTAACGTTCCAGGGTGTAACTGGTACAGGATATGTAAGTTTAGTAGCAAAGAGCTCTGGAATACCAATTTCATCTATGTTTAAATATGGATCCGGTGTTATGACCGATCTGGCAGCATAATTTACTCTTTTGCCCATCATGTGCATACGTATCACACCTTCTTTCTTTTCGATAATCTGTCGTAATCCTTGACAAATAGTAGAATCTGTTGTCTTATTCATATCGCGATCGATCAAATGGTCCACATTTCCTTGTAAGTCTTGCCATGCATTGTGCAGTTTTTCGACAGCAGAATTACCTCTTATACTGTTAAATACAAGCTTTCCTGCGTCAGGGAGTTGATTCGTGTCACCATCTTGAATAGCTTGAATAACATTTCGTAGAGTGAGACAATTGATGATAATTGATTTATAAACTTGACTTTGAGGATGTTCCACGATCTGTTCGTTCAACATATTTACCGGTCTAACTATTGGAGGCACAACAGGAATAACTTCGAAAAAAAATATATCCGTAGGATTTTCTATTAATAAATTGTTCAAACACGAAACCAATACTTTTAACGTTTCTTTTTCATTCTGCCATAACTTTCTTAAAAATTCTTTCGATTGATCTGGCATTATAATAATTGTTTCTAATTTATGTACAACCCGATGTGAACTATCTTCTTCGTTTGATGGCACTCTCGTGGTCATTAATTTATTTTTTAAACTAATAATTTTTGGTATTACTTTTTGACAATTGATACACACTTTTCTACCATTATATTGTTTTAAAAAATGATCTATACAGCTATGCCACTGCACGTTAGCATTCTTTGTATCAAAAAATAATTCATTTGAAGACTTATTTATTCTATATCTTTCTTTATTATAAATATTTTCCATGTAATTTTCAATAATATTGTGAAAATATGAAACATCTTCAGTTTCTGCATTATTCATATCTGATAAAGCTAATGTAACTTCTTGATCTAATCCTTCGATTGAAGTAAATAAACCATCGTGTATAAGTCTTAATTTAGCTGCTAGTAATAACTTGGCACATGGAGGAATTTGTAATGTGAAACAACTTAAACACGATAACTTTAATAAAGTTCGTAATGCTTTATAAAATAATGGATTTACAACAGGCATTGGTAATTCTATATGTCCAAAATGTCCAGGACATTTAGAAACATTACCACCGCATGTTCTACATGGGTCTAAAAAATCAAATGTTGGACCTAAAATATTTGAAATAAAAAAAAATTATATATGTATGTAATTATATATATATATATATATATATATATATATATATATTAATAATAAAATAAGTATTTCTATTTTTTGAAAATTTAATTAAAAAAATTACCTAAACAAGGATCATACAATCCTCCGATTAAAGGATGTCCAATTACATTAAAGGAATCAGGAGTTGTTATTTTTTTTACGCTTAAATTTTTAATATCATCTGCGGTAAAAACTGAGAAAGTTAGATTTTTTGGATCCAGATGCTTGGCTGTTATTCTCATCCCTGTTTGATATCTAATCATGTTTCCTTCTTGAATTTTCAAAAGCTACAAAATAATTAACCAACCTAGAAAATTAAATATATTAATAATTGTTATTATTATAGATTGTTAATAGCTTATGCTTCGATGTAATTTTAATTGGCAATTGTATTATATTAAATTTCTATAGTGTAAACATACATATATGCATATGATCAATAGACGAATATACTTAAATCACTAATTTATAAAGATACTAATTATAAATAGTATTTATTAATATTATTTTATTTTCAAATTTATTAGCTTACTGAACTTAAGTATTTACTGTGTAATTTTAGTCATTATTACTTCATAATATATAAATTATATAAAGTATAAAGTAAAGAATTATAAATCTATATTATGTAAAGTACGATAATATTCATATTATTTACTTATATTCCATAAAATAATAATTGAAAATATTAATTTATGAACACTCGACTCATCATCCATCCTTTACTATTTGCTTAAAGTAATTAAAATAATAGCTTTCTTTAAATATATAAATTTATATTACTAACCTCATAAATAAATATAACAATAATTCGTTTAAAATAATTAAGGATAATTATTTTTAAGTAACCATAAGATATATTCAGTTCATATAATATATTTAAGTAATCTTAAACACGTTCATTATTGCTTCTTCAATCTAATATTGATTCATTTGTAACACACGAGGTTACAGACGATAATGGGAGCACGTGTCTATAACATATGTATACCAAAATATTTTCAACGTTAATTAATAATCGTTCGACAAACTTATCGAATAAAATAAAAGATATATTTATATTCATCGTATTAAAATGACAAATTATTTTTAACTTAATTATTATCATCCCAATAGAATAGAAATATATACGTTAAGTTACTACACATAAAGAATGACTATTTTAATGTAAATATATATTATTTACGAAGATGTTTAGATAATTTCATTTACTACAATATTAATAATTTAAAATTTAATTACATTTATAAAGCAATATTTTACATTTGTTATGAAGAATAAATTATAAACCGTCGAATGAATATTTCCACTAAGAAAATGTATATATGCATGTGTGGACAAATTAAAAGTAAAATTTTGACACAAGTAAGGATTATGAGTAAAACAATAATAAGAATTTTTTTTAAATTTATTTATGCACATTTTATATTAAAAATTTCGTGCTAAAATACCATCCTTCTTTGCAAGGCGAACAATACAGTCATCGGATTCCCCCTATAAGAAAAATGAAAATATTAATAAAATTATAGCATTTCCATTATAAAAGAGATTGTAAGTAAAGTGGATTTAGAATATAGGTTCACATTAATTGAGCATACATTTATAAATATGAAAAAAACCAGTTTTGATATTTACCGATGATTTTTATTAAATTCATTAAATCTCATTTACTATAACTTCAATTTTAAGTATTCTATATGTAAATATTAATAAATAAATTATTGATATTCATTTAACAGATGGTATAAGCAAATAGTTACCTATAGACTTTTATAAAATAACTTTTTTTTTATAACAATTTGAATTTACCATTCGACGGATTGCTCCGCATATTGCATACATTGTATACGTGTCCAACATTCTTCCTGTTGTTGGATCAACATCAGCCAAGGTTATTTGAATAGAGGCATGATCCTTAGCATGAATAATTCGGTTGCTTGCAGAACTACAAAAACATGATTAACTTTTACAAATAAATTTTAATTAAATTTTAAGTAATTGTAAAAACAACTGAATTAAATAATGCACATAACCCACAGTATCATTTATTAAAGAAATAAAATCAAATAAAATAAACATAAGCATTACTATAGATAATTACAATTGTTTATGATTTGATTTTAATGATGAATTACAATTAACGATAAAGAAAGCACGTGTTACCATTTTCTGGGACAATATAAATCAACGAATTCTCCAGCGTCATTCTCCATTTTCAATATCTAAAACCTAAAATCTAAAATTGATATTCAATTATCAATACCGCAATTGGGTAATAAATTATTTTATAATATATAATTTTTAGGAAATTAATTGTATAAATCTTACTCAACTGATACTGTTATCAACACGACTGGAATTAAAAGAAAATTTAAAACCTCTTCCCTCGTTAGGTTTTAAAGACCATTAAGTAACAAATACCAAGTTGATCAACTACATTCGTGAATTGAGTTGGAACCTTAAAGTTGAATCACGCGAGCATCGCAATTGCGATCATAACAATTTTTCGTAAATAATAAGTAAATTAAAAAAATTTTTCATTAAAAATAATATTGAATTTTTCAATTAAAAATTGAAGCTATATGTGTAGCTATTCAAATATTTTGTTATTAACAAGTTGTAAAAAAAATTTCACTCAGTGATATAACTATTTTCAAACATTCAAAGGTGAAACTTGCTACAAAAATTATTTAAGTCGTCTTTTCGCTATTGTTTCGTAAAAATTATAAAAAGTCAATATGGCTTCTAGACAGTTATTTAGCAAATTTTTTAGACAAATAAATTTATCTAAATGTAATTCATCACAATTGTCAGAATGCGTACGAGGTAAATAAAATATATAAATTACATAATTATTTTTATTGTTGAATTGTTGAAAGCAATTGAAAGTAATTGTTATTTTTATCATCTTTGATCAGATTAATTCTTAAATGTTCTTAATAAGTTTTTATATTTTGTGGTGTACTTGTTAATTATTGTAAAATGTTTCTCTTCTAGAATAAGAACTGTATTTCTTATACTAAATTGATATTTAATACTGTGATTATGATTATATAATAAATTCTTTTACTAGTTTCATAAAAAAAAATAAATAAATCATAATACATAAAAGCACAATATAACAAGATGCTGCTGTTTTTTAGCTAATAAATAATTTTGTAAATCAACTTAAAAATAATGTTCGTAATTTTTAAAAGAATTTTAATAATTGAGTGAAAATGTAAATATCAATTTTTATGAAGAAAATGAAAATAAAGTATTTTATCAAAGCTTTTCAATATACAGATATATTTCATAAAATATTAATAAAAATGTAGAATATTAATAGTCTACGCATTAAATGCATTTTCACATATATTTCACAATATTGTAATAATTTATTAGATGGTTATGAGCAATCGCTTTTGTAGGTATTAATATTGTTAAGTTATTATATAATTGTGTTCGATGATTTTTTCGAAAGCTCAAAACAACAATTATTACTGATTATACTTGAAATTTTATTTATGATTTGATTTTGTTTTTATTTTTATTTATGATTAAGTACAAAGTATAGGTTACATAAAATTTTTACTATTTAATCAGCAAACTTTTTAAAAATAATATTTTAACAATATTATCCATAAATTGTTATCAATTTCTTTAATTGTAATAAATATAATAAATATAATTGATTATAATACATTTATAATTAATTTTATAGATTTTTGGAAATACGGTTAAAAGAAAAATTTTTTAATCGAACAAATGTGTTGTTTAATTAAAACAATGTTCTTATTCAATATATAATAATTCTTCATTTCCTTTTATTTTAAATAAGCATTTAAAACAAAATTTTTATGTTATTTTATTAACATAAAGGAAAAGGTTTACTAATTTACTCATTGTCAATAGAATAATTAAACTAATTTGATTAATATATTTAAATTTAAGATAATATAAATAAAAATGCAATTTTTAAATTCCCGAACGTATATATTTTACAAATATGAAATAATATTAATGAAAGAAAAATGTCATTTGAATTTTTCTATAATGGAAAGTCTGTCATAACGAATTAATATTTTCAGATGCAGATTCCAAAAAAATATCATTAACAACTAAAGTTCTATTATCGTTGATATTCTTTGATGGGATTTATCTTGCAATGGTTGGTCTAGATAAGCATCCTCGTCCAGAATTTCGCCCATATGAACATTTAAGACGTATCAGATACGTAAGATTTCAATTTTATGAAAATTATTTAAGTTTCTTTTAAATTATTCTCATTGCATAATTACATCATATTTTAGCCATTTCCGTGGGGTGATGGTGAGCGTAGTCTTTTCTTTAACCCACACACAAATGCTTTACCTTCAGGATACATAACTGACGAGGAATGAAGTTCAGAATAAATTTGAAAATAGTATCACTATTACAATGTAAAGTACCTTATTAAATAGTTAAAAAATAAAATTATTTTATTTGAGAAAGTGTACGATTAAATAGATCGAACACAGCTAATATTATTTCATAGAAGCAATGTAGTTTAATGCTAATGCCGAATAAAATAATAACACTAATAACATTGTAATTTAATTGTACTGTAATAATTATAATTTTAAAGATGTTTTTAAATAAAGCTTATTATACTTGACTATATATTATTAAATAAATCAGCGATTGAATACCGTAACCATAATGTAATTGCTCATTTATGACACAAAGACTTTATAATAACGCTTAAGCTATAGTAAATATAAAAGCAAATATATACATAGATTTATATTAATTAACGTTTTATTTAAATAAGATTTAAATTTTTTTACATATTTTATAATGTTTTTCTTTCCAGTGGTTTTGTTGACAATCACGTGAACAATATGTAGCGATTTTACAGTTGGAACATACTATTTGACTGAGTTTTCTACATTTTAAGCATAAATGATTAATATTGTACTCTTTTTCTCCTGGAAATGTTTCATTAATGGCTTCGTTTTTGCTTTTCTTATTTGAAGTATTTGCTGCATCATTTGATAACGATGATATGGGATTTGAGCTTATTAAGAAATTATTAGATTTATCTTGATGTCCTTCGATCATCTTATTTGATATTGACGATACTTGTGTTTTATTCTTTAGAGATGAATTCTGTAAACTGAAATATTTCAATAACAATTACATGTATTATATGCAACAGTTAATATCATGCGATTATTAAATATATATTACTGTAATAGCTAATTTAATTGTGAAATATGGAAGATTATTTAAATAAATGTTTCAAAGAAAAAAAAAAAAAAAAAAAAATTCTTAAATAACAAATAATTCACTTAAAACTTAAAATTATTTTAGAGATGATAGTATCGTTACAATTTAAAATTAGTTCACAATAAAATTAAAACTTATTGAAATAAGCTTACTTTTTATTTAATATTGATAAGAACAGTTGAATTAATTAAAATATAAGTTTTCTCTTTTATAACGTTATTATACACAACAAAATTTATAATCAATATATTTCATACCTATTAATTATTTCGATTGAATTATTGGTAATATTTTGTTGTAAAGGTATTATCAACGAAGAATCAATTTCGTCGATTTTTTGATAATCGTCACGGAGATTGTGATCACCTGCTGGTACTTGTAATTGAAGGGCATGTATTTGGCTTATTTTACGATAAATTTTTGTTTGTGTTATAAATTCTCTTTTTTGATGATCGGTCATTGTATTAATGGTATTTGGTTGATATTTATTGTTCATTTCTTCGAGTTCCAAAAGTAAGGGTTGCCTTCTGTCACTATATCCACAATTAATTCCTTTTTGCTTGAAATAATAATAAAGCTTTAGGATGCTATTTAATGTTGACAAAAGTTGATTCGATGGTTTTGGATTGATCGAATTAACTATAGCTTGTATTACTTTATGATAATTTACTTTTGTCGTAAGATTAGTTAAGGAGAAAACACATTGTATTATTGTTATAATTATTAATTGAAATTTCCATGTATTTTCTGTTAATGTATTAAAATTTAATAGTGCATTTATATATTGCTTGCGCTTATGCAATACTATTTTATCTAATGCCTTCAATTCGTAGACAAGCTTATTTAATAACATTTTTTTATATTCGATTATTTTTTTATTAATACTATCGGAAGATTCTTGCATATTTACAATATAAGGTATCAATATTGCCAATGTTTGAAGTGGTGGCAAGTCAAGAGTAAAAACAGTATCTTGTGCATAAAAATTAGAATATATTGAAGAAGCTAATACAACTTTACGATTATTTCCATTCATATTAGCGGACGGATGTACTGGAGTCGTCGATTGTGAATTGTTATTGAATAGAGTGCAATTGTTTTGTGAAAGATTTTCAAGTGCCTGAGACATACCGGGCTTCGATGCTGAATACGAACAACCAGGAAGAGCATTATATACTACTTGTTGATAAGATAATTGCATATTAGAATTCGAATTGTTTTTTGTAACAGGCGCTGAACTAGACGACAGGTTGTTAAATTTTGAATTTTGAAGAGTCGGCTGTTCTATATTGCAACAAATTGTTTGTAGTTGAGAATAATGTGGCATTGGGCTAATATTATTGATTAAATTTGCTAAAGCTTTGAACTTATCACTAGAATTTGTTGTGGATAAATTGTTCTCGTCTACATCAGCAATCATTTCTGGAAGAAATGGAGTATTTGATGAAGCTGCATCAGATAATAATAATATCGGCGGTGGAATACGTTTATCTGTTGAATTTTTATTTTTTAAAGTCACTTTTTTTGGACCTGATAATTTTTCTGGCTTTTCTAATAATTCGTTTATATCGCGTAATTTAAAGGTTTTTTCTGGCGAATTAAAATTCGATGAATTAGTCATACTAGTATCCCTTATTACATCTATTTCATCTACTAAATTTATATTTATATTTTTTAGTAAATCGTAATCATTCTCTGATTGTTCTTGAGCACTTGGTATTGATACCTCAAATATAATTGGACACGATATATTGTCTATTGGTTGGGTATTTTTAATTACAGAAACTTGATTTTCCAATTCTTTTATAGAACTGTCTTTGCTTGGAATACAATTCTCAATTTCCGAATTTTCATTGCTATCTGAATTTAAAGATTTATTTGACGTAGCTTGTAAATTAGTATTTGGATATATCACTGAAACTTTAGCATTTAATGGATTGGTTGCTGTGGCTTCTTTAAATACATTTTCTTTTGGTGTATCCCCTAGAATATTGGTACTGTTAGAGATATTATTTAAATTGCTAGTGAAGTTATTCGAACATTTTACTATTGTTTTATTATTCAATGAATCCTCGTTGTATACTTTATACTTGTTCTTTCCATTCGATTGACTATGAATTGTAAATTGAGAATTGGAACTTTTACTAGAAGATGACTTACTAGTTGAAGGTTTGTTACAATTTTTTAATGTTGATAAATTCGTTTGTGAATCATTTTTCATATTTTTATTTGAAGTCAACCGAGAAGGCATATCGAATGGAGAAATTATCGTAGTTTGATTTTTGCAAGATTCGCTTGATGATGACACCAGTTCATTTACCAGCAATATTGAATTATCTTCGACAGTTTGCGTTAAAATATGTCTCTTATCATATTGTTCGCATAATGATAAAATCATGTCCTCTATTTGGACACCTTCTGATTTTTCTTTTTCTAATTGTTTCGTTTGCAATTGCTGAACAGGGTTTCCCACTTGTTGCTCGTTACTTAAGAATTTCTTCTCCTTTTCAATCAAAGCAACATTTGTCAAGTTATTCATTTGTTTATCATGTAAATCACTAGAAATGTTATGCGTCATTTTTTTATGTTGAACTTTGTTAATTTCATTTTTAGAATTAAAATTGGAATTAATATGTTCCATAACAGTGACAATGTCATCGATATCATCAGAAATATATAAATTAAGACCAGAGATATCAATGTTAGTAATATCATCTATTTTCGTTCTATTATTCACTACTTTTGTTATACATTCATTATAGAAATTAGGTAATTTTTTTAAGCAATGAGTACTACTTGAATTGAATGTTTCTTGTAAATTTTTAGCTTTAATCATCATCTGTTTTGGGAGCATTAGTTTCGACTGTCATTTTATTTATTAAGTTAACATTATCGTCTCTGCTTTCCATATTTATGGAATATTCAATACTTTCTTGGTCATTTATTTCTACATCACAATCTGAATCCACATCATACTCGTTGTCAGAATCTGAATTCTGTTTAATTTTTTTAATCGATGTAGCAAAATCAAAATCCCCTCCTTCTAAATGTTCATCTAATCCTGTACTATCTGGAAGAACTTGATCTCTATTTAATGGAGAATCTACAATATCAATTATACACATTTCTTGGCTATCTGGAGAATTTGTATTACTACGATCTTGATTCTTTTCCATTCCTATTGTTTCAATATCAATAACAGAAGTATTATTCTCCATTTCGTGTACATCAATTTTTTTTAAATTAATTGTCATGTTCTTATTTTCCAAAGAATTTATGTTACATTTTAATTTGTTTTCAGTTTCACCTGTAATTTTATTAACTCCATTCGACTCCTTACCCATGTTCAATTTCAAGTTTATACTAGATCTATCGTTATCATGCAATTCTTTATCAGTATTATTTGATCTAACTTGTTTCATATATTCCTTTAGTAATGTAACTTTGATATGATTATTATCTGTTTCTGTCATGACTTCTTCTCTTCTATTTACTTCGACATTAATTGTTGAATTATTTATAATATTTTCTTTAGATTTTTTAAATTCCGTATCATTTATATTTTTACCTAATTTTTGAAATTGTAATATTAACTGATTTTCTTCAGGAGCTACATTCAATTGATCATCCTTTAATAATTTTAATTCAAGATTTGCTGTAACAATTTTTTTCTCTAATGATATTTCTGTTGAGCTACTTTCATTCGTTGTTTCTGAAATCGTTTTTATTTGTAATATATCAGATGTTATACGCTGACAATTCTTATTTATGATATATTCTTGGCCTTCTACTGAATTAACCTCTTCATCAATTGTATTATCCAATTTATTAGAAATTTGACAAAGAGATTTATCTCTTTTTTTCACACCCTTTTCAATATTACAATTATGATCAACTTGAATATTATAATTAAATTCTGTTGATTTATCTGCTATAATTTTAGGGACTACTACATCTGAGCCTGTTTCTGAATTACGATCTGAAAAATCTTCAGTCATTGAGTCCATATATTTTCTTCCAGATGCTAGATAATTATCTTGACTAAGGTCTAAAAATTCATTCTGATTGGAAGCAAACAAAGAAGCTGATACAATTTTTTTCAATGGCGAAGATAGACTTAAAGTAATATTTGCATGAACATTTTGGTCTACACTAATATTTTTATTATTATCATTATTATTTAAGAAATTATATGGATTTAAAATACATGGATCCATCTTTGGTAAGAGTTTCTTTGAATAATCATTGGACAATTTACTTTGTAATAGGGACTCTTTTACGTGTAAATTATTTTCTAAAGATGATTTAACGAGATCTATGCAATTATTTATATTGTTTTTTTGCATATCAATAGTAGAGTAGTCTGAAAATTTACGGCGTTTACACAAACTATCGCAGTCACTGTCCATATTTATGACATCTCTTAAACTTGAACTCCTTTTTTTCACAAAATTTCTCAAGTATGGAGATAAACAATTGTTAAAATTATTAATGTTTCTTACAATAGACCTATTTTCAAAGTTATATCTTTCTAATTCAGGCACTTCTTCACTGACAATTTCGGTAGGCAAAACACACATATTTTGTAAGGGGGTAATTTCATTTTCTTCAATTACATTTGAACATTCATTTCTTCGTACATTGCCTATATTTTTGTCTGTCCCTGCAATTGTTTTTATATTTTCTAAATTGATCCAATTTTTCTGATTTGACTTATCTCTTATTAATGTTAGTTTTATTGATAAAATGCTTTTGGAATCTTTTTTATTTGTTGATAAATCACTTGACTTAGATCGAAATCTTTTTGCACACTTATATGGCTGAGGAGTAGTAGCTTCTGATAAGGAATTACGTTTCTTAATTTTTTGATTGTTAAAAATATTATTACTAAGTTCGTTATGATTACTATTTGATATTGTAGAACATAAGAGGTTTTGTTTAATACTTGGAATTTCTTCTGTACTATCGGGTGCAACTAAATCTAACTGTAAGTTCTGTATCGTACTTTTAGCTGCATTTTCTATCACAGGTTTAGATAAAAAATTGTTGAATACAATTGCACTTTCTATATTATAGGGTTCATTTAAAGGGTATTCCTCGTGTAGAGTTATTCTTTCATCATCGTTACTATTGGAATGCGAAGATTTTGTACTAAGTATTTGATCAAAATCACAGCCTTCTGCTTCTGTTCCATTTTCAATAACATGATTTTCCTTTTCATATCTCGGATTGTATCTAGATAAAATAAAAAGAAAATACTTATTAATGTTTTAATTACTGTAGCGAATACATAAATATATTATTTACTAAATGAGGGCTTAATTGACAATTTGGGATTTTCTACAATATTGATAATTTATTTTTCATACAAATTTGAATAAAATTGTTATTTAATCAAAATTTTATTAATAGAAAAAAATAATTTAATATGACTAAATTATTAAGACTGTAAGAAAAATACGTTTATATCTATAATCTTATCTATAATGTATTTGTAGAAGTTTGAAATTACCTTTCATAAACTTGACAAAATACAATTAATACAAGAGAAAATTGTATATAAAATTCTTTCATTTCATCGTGGCCTATATCATAGCTATTGTACATATAGATTATATTGGCTATTATTAAAACAATAATTAATATTAAATTGACAATAATGGTAAAAACTTTTGATAGATTAATATCTTGTTGCTTATTGCGCAATATTTTTCATATTATATAAAAACTAACAATTATATGAAATATAATTTTTTGCTAGTTAAACTAATTGATTACGAAATCTTGAAAACAACATTAGTTATAATAACTATGATCACAAATGAAATAAAGAAGAAAAAATTAATTGATAAAAAAAAAAAAAAAAAACGATGAAATAATGTATTTATTTATTAAAAATTTTTATATATTTTTTATAATTAAAATTTATTATAAAAAATACGAAATTAAGGATGTAGAAAAATTTTCAATAATATCGTGCCAATTATTAATTACTAATTACTACATTTGCAATATGTAATTTTAAATTAATGTAAAACAATTAATAAGCTCATGGGCAATATAAAACTTTCTTAATAAATACCGATATTTTTGAAAATAGAAAAATCTTTTTAACATTTAAAATTATGATTTAATTAAATTTTTATCGATACATGTTCTTTGTTCTTCTTTTTATCAATCATTTCACGTCCTTAATAGTTCAATTCCCTCTTATGTAAATAAAATGTTTATTGAACCAAGTCAAACCTCATGGACAAACCATTTAATTGAAGTTAAGTAGTTATTAGCAATGACGAATTACTCTAAATGACATCCATTATACCGAATGCATTTGAAACGGCGAGTACATATTATTCATTAGTTCATGCCCTCTTGTTCTTACTCTTATTGTTATACTATAGGCATTGGCAGCATTACTAGTTTTAATATTATTCATTATTGAAGCTTTTAAATTAAATTCTAAATTTGGTGCATTCGACAATAATAGAAACGACAAGTTTAACGATGATGCAATCGTTACCTTAGATGCAATGTTGATTAAAGTCGAGAAAATGAACACACGACCGTTCTCTTAATTTGCTAGGGATCGGGGAGGAGTTGAAAAAATAGATATATATATATATATATATATATAAAGGAAAGAAAAGAGAAGAAAAGAAAAGAAAAGAAAAAATCAAAACTCAGGTTATAATAGTACCTCTGCGATAATAATGCATCGTTCCTGAGGATGCGACAATCGACTTGGAATAATTGCCAAATGGGCAACTTTTGATAATTGTTAAAGAAGTAGTTCATGCACGACCACGTAATATTCGTGCACTTAATGTGCTGCATCAAAAGCCAAAATGTGTGATAATCGTCGTCGCGAGTGCCGATACTCGCTGACGTTTCCCTCTCCCGACATTTAATAATTCGACGATTTTTCGATAGCTTCCGTTGCCACTTAATCTCGATCGCCGCGCGACTCTTTCTAGGACGTTCCCATATTTGTTTCCTCCTCCTCTCGATTGTCCTCCGACCCTTTTTATCGTCGTCAGGCCTTCGAACTGCGTCATCGTCGGCTACGAGACGAGCCACCGGAAGCGGCAATCCCGCCAACTGGCCATGCGCGTCGTCGTCATTACTCATTCCCGTGAAGTTCGTCTCCTCCGTCACTGCGGCGCGGACAATCAAAATATCGGGACTGTCCTTGGGCTTCGCGGCTGTAGGACGAGGTTGCGGTGTTAACCGATCAAAGTTGATTTCCACGTTGTCCATGATGTCGAGTACCAAATGCGGTTGTCGTCGATCGCATCTCGCGTGATTCAATGAAATCATTGGAAAAGGATTGTGGTCGTCGTCGTCGTCGTCGTCGTCGTCGTCGTCGTCGTCGTCGTCGTCGTCGTCGTCGTCGTCGTCGTCGTCGTCGTCGTCGTCGTCGTCGTCGTCGTCGTCGTCGTCGTCGTCGTCGTCGTCGTCGTCGTCGTCGTCGTCGTCGTCGTCGTCGTCGTCGTCGTCGTCGTCGTCGTCGTCGTCGTCGTCGTCGTCGTCGTCGTCGTCGTCGTCGTCGTCGTCGTCGTCGTCGTCGTCGTCGTCGTCGTCGTCGTCGTCGTCGTCGTCGTCGTCGTCGTCGTCGTCGTCGTCGTCGTCGTCGTCGTCGTCGTCGTCGTCGTCGTCGTCGTCGTCGTCGTCGTCGTCGTCGTCGTCGTCGTCGTCGTCGTCGTCGTCGTCGTCGTCGTCGTCGTCGTCGTCGTCGTCGTCGTCGTCGTCGTCGTCGTCGTCGTCGTCGTCGTCGTCGTCGTCGTCGTCGTCGTCGTCGTCGTCGTCGTCGTCGTCGTCGTCGTCGTCGTCGTCGTCGTCGTCGTCGTCGTCGTCGTCGTCGTCGTCGTCGTCGTCGTCGTCGTCGTCGTCGTCGTCGTCTTCTTCGTCGTCGTCTTCGTCGTCGTCATCGTCGTCCTCATTTACATCGTCATCATCGCCTTTGTTATCTTCGTCGTTCTCGTCTGCGTCTACATCGACTTTATTATCGTCCTGTTCGTCGTTATTCTGTTTATTGTCATCCTCTGTGTCGTTGTTGTCGTCTTGTTGGTCGAGTATCGTAATCTCGCTCAAGTATCTCGAGTTCATCATTGGTTGTGCAGGCACTTCCGCGTGGCTAATCCTTTCCTCCTTTTCGTCGATCGCCGTGTCAGCGCTATCGGTAAGGTCGACAGGACGATAGCCGAGGAGCGCGCCTTCGCTGAAGCCGGCCGCTTCATTATCGTCCTTGCGGCGCTCGCTCGTGCACTCGACGTAGGGACGACTGCCTCTGATGCAGCGGTTGTCGTCGACCGCGGCGAAACCCTTGAACGACTCGTTACGAGTGGCCCGGGCGACGTTGCGCTCGTGAGGCCAAAGCTCGACGGAGAAGCGCTTGAGTCGCGGCCACTCGCTCGCGTCGATTACGAGCACGGGATGGGTTCCATCGTCGTCTTGGGACGCCGCGGTCTCGTTGTCCTCGTAGAGATCCGTGGCCGGGTGGCCATAGCGCTTTAGGGCGCGAGCGCGTCGAGGATCACGGGCACTAGGGAGATTTACGGGCCGGTTATTGAGACAGAGCGAAAAGGTCAGGGATCGCGGTGGCCGGCTATAATCTACGTAGGCCGAGGGTAGCTTGTGAAGCGGACGTTTCGCGAGCTCGCGTTCGAGCGCCAGCGAGTGCCGGAGAGCGGAATCGCGGCGCGGATCCCACGGGTGGGGACGCTCGCGCAACAGCCTCGGGAGGAACTCGTGCCGCGTGATCTCGAGGGGCTCGAGTCTGTATCCGTGGTCGTTAAGGGGCCGCTCAGGATACGCGAGGTCGCTCATGACCGCGAATTTGACGTGCCCGAGGTCGTCATAGAGGAGAAGCGGCGGTCCGAGGCTCGCTTATTTACGATTGACCAAGAGTCGTCGTCGGTGCGACGTTACGTCTTCCCGTTGCCGCTATTGAAGCTAATAACGACGACGACGACGACGACGACGACGACGACGACGACGACGACGACGACGACGACGACGACGACGACGACGATTACAATGATGTAAAACTAACTATACGCGTGGGACCCAAGAGTCCTGGGAGGCCGAGAGGCCCCTTTATACTGCCCGGAGCTTTGATCGCGCGCAACGTGCATCCGCTATCTGCTCTTTGCTCTCTGTTCCGCGCCTCTGGCTTTAGTTCTTCGCCCCTTCTGCTACGAATCCTCCCTCTCCCTCGCACCGTCCCTCCCCCGCTCTTTCGCTCTCTCTCTCTCTCTCTCTCTCTCTCTCTCGCTCGTTCGCCCACTCGCTCCTATGCACGCACACTCGCTCTCCCGCGGCCCCTCTTGCCGCCAACCCCTGACGCAGAGTCGAAGAAGCTCTTCCCTCGCACACTCGACGATACTTGTTGCGGAGCAGCTGCTCAACAGCCGCCAGCGCTTTCTCCTTGTTTCGCCGACGGCGCATAAACAAAGAGGGGAGGAAAAGCCCCGTGAGGGGAAGCGAAGGGGAGGCAGAACGATAGGGAAGTCCAGCGGCTTGCGTATTCGAGGAACGTTCAAGGAAGACGAGAGACGAGAGGATGTTCGATGGCAAGATTAGATAAGCAAGTTCGATGTCGAGTGCTTCTCTCAAAGGGTTACAAATAAAATACGATACTGTAATTTTATCATATTTTATTATTCGTTTGAGAATAAGCTTGAGAGTAAATGGTCGTTGCGTGACGATTGATGATGACGATGATGACGCCAAGGATGACGAATGACGAATGACGAATGACGAATGACGAATGACGATGACGACGACGACGACGACGACGACGACGACGACGACGACGACGACGACGACGACGACGACGACGACGACGACGACGACGACGACGACGACGACGACGACGACGACGACGACGACGACGACGACGACGACGACGACGACGACGACGACGACGACGACGACGACGACGACGACGACGACGACGACGACGACGACGACGACGACGACGACGACGACGACGACGACGACGACGACGACGACGACGACGACGACGACGACGACGACGACGACGACGACGACGACGACGACGACGACGACGACGACGACGACGACGACGACGACGACGACGACGACGACGACGACGACGACGACGACGACGACGACGACGACGACGACGACGACGACGACGACGACGACGACGACGACGACGACGACGACGACGACGACGACGACGACGACGACGACGACGACGACGACGACGA